AACTGATTTAATTTTTCCTACAAATCTTTTAAATATCCATTATAACTTAGGCAGAATATTTTAGGCTACCGTAAAGAATATCACTTTCCCCGAGTATAATTTATGTCGCAGTTGTCTTCTTTCATCCACAGAATATCAGTTCAAGCCTCATATAACTCCATTCCATAAAACCTTTTGTTCCTCTTTATCAAACCCAGAAATTCTCTTGAGTATATTTCTTACCCCCATTTATTTACAATCACCCTGTCTTCTATTTTCAGAGATAACAGAGCCTGATAGATGTGGACTCCTCTAAAACTTTCTGTTCTCCACTCTGAGCTCATGAGATACGTCCTCATCTGTCTTTACGTGCCTTGTCTCCTCTTTCAGTGGAAGATACGGAAGATATTTCCTCATCCATTATTTTGTCTCTGTTGAGTATCATTCCTTTTCCTCCTTCGGGAATATCGTTCTTTGAATTATCCCCTTTCCTGAATCTTTAGCGGCTCTCCCTCTGCTCAGTACATCGACAGTACATTATCTCACTTTAGAAAACAAAAGGAAATGTTTATTTTCTAACTCCTACCAGTAATCCCGTCACAATACTTCACTGAAAAACACATGTCTTACACATGTGATTAATGTGCATAATACTAAACATACCACATACAATTCATGCATATAAAACTAGTGAGATCTAAATAGGGCAGAAGGATTGCATCGAATTCACAATCTTCTTGTTGTTGAGACAGGAAAGGTTCCTTTGTCCCCCTCACAGGGCGTGTGACAGGGGGAGTGGCTTGCAGTGTCCCACTGCTCAAAACCTCCAGAGGAGCATACAGATGGGCAGGCTGTGGGGCTGTGACCCCATGGCTGTGTCTAGGGGTGAATGTTTAGTGCTGAAGCCCCCTTGGGCTTGTATCACCGTGTGCTCTTTTAGTGTAGCCGTCGGTAAAGGACTTGTGCTACTCAGCTCAGTTAGACCACTGCCTTATTGCAAAAACAGAGGGCTTTCTGTATCCTTGGGTTCTAGCCTTGGTGTACCAAAAGAAATGAATCACATGTGGGCTTGGAGAATGAGTGCAAGGTTTCATCAAGTGGAAGTAGGTCTCAGCAGACTGGGGAGCCAAAAGGGAAATGGTTTTCCCCTAGAGTTGGGCCGCTTGGTAGCCAGGGTTCTCCTCCCACTGCCCGAGACAAACTCTGTGTCATTTTGCTGTCGGTGGCTTGTCGGTGTGCCGGTACCAGTCAAGCCACCCGTGTGTCTGGTGTTCCTTTGCTCATGTGCTCCCCTCACGTCCAGGGCCTGGTTTCTGCATCCTAGGGTCTTTGGTTTAATTATTTTTTTTTTTTACTTTTTAATTTTTTGAGACAGAGTCTTGCTGTGTTGCCCAGGCTGGAGTGCAGTGGCTCATCTTGGCTCACTGCAACCTCCATCTCCTGGGTTCAAGCAATTCTCCCACCTCAGCCTTCCAAGTAGCTGGAATTAAAAGCACCTGCCATCATGCCCGGCTAAGATTTGTATTTTTAGTAGAGATGGAGTTTCACCATGTTGGCCAGGCTGGTCTTGAACTCCTGAGGTCATGTGACCTGCCTGCCTCAGCCTCCCAAAGTGCTGGAATTACAGGCATGAGCCACTGCGCCTGGCTGGGTCTTGGGGTTTTTATAGGCACAGGATGAGGGTGTAGCAGACCAGGGTGGTCTTGGAAAATGCAACATTTGGCCAAGAAAACAAAAATGTTTATCCTCATCTAGGTTCATGGGCACAGGCCCAGGGGTGGAGCTCTAGCCATAGACCATGCCCTGCCCCTCTTTTATGTCCTTTAAAGAGACCAGGCCCTTCCCTTCCCTGCCCAGCACTTCCCTTCCCCAGTTCTGTGTCATTGTGACATTAAACTGTAATGATGCAAGATGTTGCCATGGAGGGAAACTGGGTTAAGGGTATATGGGATCACTCTGTATTATTTATTACAACTGTGTGTGAACATACAATTATCTTAAAATTAAAAGTTAATACAGAAGTATTTCTAAAAATTATAATAATAGGAGCCACTATTTATTGAGTGGTTACTATGTGCTGGGTTCTGTTTACATACCATCAGGTGAATAGTACTGTTAACCTCATTTTATGGATGAGAAAACTGAGACACAGAGAGATTAAATCACTTACTCAGAGTCACTCAGTGACTAAGTGGGAGCACTAGCATTCCGACCCAGGCAGACTCACTCCAAAGACTGAGCTCTTAACTACTCTGCCATGCTTCGTGCGCATCTGTCTTTATATCCTGCCTTCTAGTCTCCCTCATCAGCCCGCTACAATTTACCTTCCATCCCAGTCACACCCCGGAAACTGCATTTGCCTGGATCACTAAGCCTCTTGCCAAATCTAATGGTCCTATTCTTTGTACAGGCTTTGCTATTGCCTACACATTCCACAAATACTTCCTGAGTATCTACAGTGTACCAAGTTATGTTCTACAGCTGTGAAAAAGATAGGGAAAACTGGCCGGGCGCGGTGGCTCAAGCCTGTAATCCCAGCACTTTGGGAGGCCGAGGCGGGTGGATCACGAGGTAAAGAGATCGAGACCATCCTGGTCAACAAGGTGAAACCCCGTCTCTACTAAAAATACAAAAAGTTTAGCTGGGCATGGTGGCGCATGCCTGTAACCCCAGCTACTCAGGAGTCTGAGGCAGGAGAATTGCCTGAACCCAGGAGGCGGAGGTTGCGGTGAGCCGAGATCGAGTCATTGCACTCCAGCCTGGGTAACGAGAGCGAAACTCCGTCTCAAAAAAAAAAAAAAAAAAAAGATAGGGAAAACTGCTGCAACCGAAGAATGCCCCTTTTAGAATGAGAGGTTTGACATCTTCAGTTCTTTCTTTTCTGCTCGTCACCGCTGCCTTGTTTGTGGATGGTCAATAAACCACTTCATTGTCCATGCCTGTGTTTTCTGTGGCTAATCAGGTTATACAGCTAGTTTGTTTGTGGTTTCACAACATAAATAATAAAATAGTATACTTAGATACCATTTCCCCTTTTTCCCCCAAATGGAAATCTGAACTTTCCAAGCAATTGTCATGCCTATGAATGAAGACAACCTGAAGGAGATCCTGAAGTATCCTACCCTTCTTATATAATTGTTAAAAATGAATTGTGAAAAATCAATTGCCATTGACCTTTTACCTACTTTTTCTGTATGAGGATAATTTGAATTAATTGTATGCCCACTGTTTTGGAAACACCAGGAAGATCTCTGCAGAATATTAAGTAAGTTTCATTCCATATGTCCAAATAAAAAGCTACTCCAAGGAAAATACTCAGCTTCATAGCGATACGGTGGTAGCTTTTTGCATATCACCAAAGCTAAGCATTTGAATCCGAGTTAAAGAGGCGTCTTGTCTCTTTCCACATATTCATGGTTATTATCTGTGTTTTCATTCCTTTCTCCCAGTTCAGTAAAGAAGAAAAAAAGTCTCCTACGTTTTCATGCCACAAGAACAGCTCTTGTTTTAATCGTTCTAACGGGAGTGCATTTCCTCGGCGATGGGAAGCAACTCTAGTCCTCTTGCCTGCCTCCCGAGTTGCCTGTGGTTTTTGTCTGATATTGGTTCACAGCGGCAGTTAGCAGTGTGCATGGACAGCGTGTCACTGTCGCTGCCCTCACGGAAACCAGAATGCCTCCTGGAAGAAAGATGGCAGATTTGGCTGGGGGACTTGCAAAACTTTAAAAGCGATTCCTTGTCAAACCCGTGAAAAACAACTCTTCCCTCTCTATAACTTGAGGAAAAAAATGAGAAACTGTCTTACAACAGATGGCGATTCCTTGCTAGTAAAACAGGCCTGGGCTGATTCAGCTCCACTCCTTTATGTTCTTTTTGCAAAACCCACAAAGAACACATTTGGGGCCACTTTTCAGAGTTGGCAACAGTCTCTGCTTTTTAAAGAAATCATGTGAACATAAAAAACAAAAGCCGCAGTCGATGGAATCCCCAGAGTCCAGAAATGGGATGCATGGGCCTTAAATTCTAGGTCATCAGGCTTGGTAACTTGATTAAATTTGGTAAAAACAAAAACAAACTTGAGAAAGTTTATATTTTCTTGTTGACTAGACTTCTTAAAAAAAGAAAAGAAAAAAGAAGAAGAGGAGGAACCAGAAACTGTAAAAAGACCCTTTGGGGTGATGGAGTAAGGTGGTTTCTAACTTTCAAATTACCTTGGATCTAAAGAATTCTATCTTTAATGTTAAGTCCAGTGCCTGTTCCCACCAATTACAAAATAGAAAGTACTATAGCTGCTTTAATATACTTAGAAGTTATTTAGAGAGGCTTGGAACGAGTATGTAAATGTGTGTGTGAGTATGTGCGTGTGTGCCTGCATGTGTGAGAGAGTGTGTGTGTGTGTGTGTGTGAGTATGTGAGAGAGAGAAAGGGTGTGTGTGAGAGTGTGTGTGAGAGAGAGTGTGTGTGAGAGAAAGGGTGTGTGTGAGTATGTGCGTGTGTGCCTGCATGTGTGAGTGTGTGTGTGTGTGTGAGAGTGTAAGAGTGTGTGTGTGAGAGAGAAAGGGTGTGTGAGAGTGTGTGAGTGTGTGTGAGTGTGTGAGAGAGAAAGGGTGTGTGTGAGTGTGTGTGTGTATGTGAGAGAGAGAGAGAAAGAGTGTGTGTGTGTGTGTGTGTGTGTGTGTGTGTTTTCTTAATAAGCTTGACTTTTTACAGATAGATGCCACTGGACATCATGAAACTTTCTCACTGAAGATGCCGAAGCAGAGTCTGGTTACCCACTTGCTAAGGATATTGTGAAGTAGACTTAAACACTAGATTAATAATCAGATCAGTTAGCTTGTATTGTTTCTTCTTCACCTAAGAGTCTAGCCATGAGGAATCAGAACTCAGCTGCCTTCACCTGTTCTTATAATAACATTGATTTGGGGTATTTTCAGACATTCAAGGTAATACTTACTATTCAGTTTTTCTTATATGCAAGAAAACACTGGCCACTTTACTAATGTTCTGTTTTATTTCACCAGGTGTCTGAACACACACAATTAAGTTGGATCCTTTCCTGCATGGTCAGACTACCTCGATTACAACATTTACATCAGTGGAAGGTAAATGCCAGTAATCTGATTAATAAACAGACAACAAGGTCTTTTTCCCTTCCTGCGTATTTCTGTGTTAGGCTCTGAGTTTACTCTCCTCTCGGGGAGGGGTCCCAAGTTTCCTCTCTCCCTCCTCTCGGGGAGGGGTCCCGAGTTTCCTCTCCTCTCGGGTCTGCTACTCACCAGTGGTTGGAACAGCATTTTTAACTTCCCTGCTTCAGGGTATTAAACAGGAAGTAAAAGGCTTTTCCAAGAATCCTTCTGACTTAAAAATTATGTCAATTGTTTTTATCTGTGTACAGTCGAATCAATTACCTTTGGATAGACTTGGTAATGACCTTGAACAACCACATTATAGTTGACGAACAATCACAAATTCTGCATTACTGGACCCTGAAGTTGCCTCCCATTTCCACTGGAATTAACTGGCAGTAAGGAAAGAATGTTTTCATTGTGGAGAGAAGAGACAACATACTTTATTTAACATTTAAACAAGTTAAGTCCAGGCAACAGTTCAAACCCACAGAAAAATTAGGGCTGTACTTTTCCTAAGTTCAACCAAGAAAGATAAATTGGATAATTCATATACTTTCCTTGCATTTATTTTTGAAATTGGATAACCCCACTGTGCGTAGCCCCCAACTACGTCAAAACTCATTTCAATTTGAAGCTTCTTTTGAGCCTATTTTCAGGACCATTGGTTCCCTCAAAAGCTAATCTTTAAAAGCCTTCATATATGGTACAGAAAGAAACAGACAAACCTTTAAATTGGCAGCACCTAAATGCTGTATCTGAATGTGTCCCCCAAAATTTATATGCTGAAACCTAACTCCCAAGATGATGATATTAGGAGGTGGGGCCCTTGAGAGGCGATTAGATCATGAGGGCGGGACCGTCAGGAGTGAGATTAGTGCTCTTGTTAAAGCACTAATGTCTTAGAGCACTAATCTCTTAGAGAGACCACTTGCTCCTGCCGTCGTGTGTGGACCAAGCTAGAAGTCACTGTCCGTGGACAAGATTCCTCAACAGACAGTGACTTTGCCTTAAACTTGGACTTCCCAGCCTCCAGAACTGTGAGAAATAAATGTCTGTTGTTTATAAGCCACCTAGTTGGGTATTTTTGTTATAGCAGCCTGAGTGCACTAAGACACTTAGTAAGTAAGACAGCACTGGTAATGCTGCAGATTCATTACTTGCCACAAATTAGAAACAACGTTTCATAATCTTCTCTGCCATATTTTGGTTTTTGGCAATACTTGCAGGTTTTATTGTAATATTCGACCATTAAGGACAATGCTGAAATCCTTTTTATAGCAACTGAATACTAATCTAGTAGCAACTATTCCCACTTTAAAAGACCGTCTATGTATCTCCTGATAGCACATTATTAGTGCATGTACTGATTCTGGAAAGGCCTTTCCACTAGTGGTGGTTTCCTATTTGTAGGAAGAACATGGATTTCATGATACTAACTCCCCTGCTGCGGCTGCACATTGCTGACGTGTTGTTTGGTTCTCTGAGTAGAGCTACTTATTAGATGGGAATATTCTGTGACGTTTCAAGGCCTAAGATAGAGCATTTCTTGTAAAATGAATGGATACTTTGGTGTGTGGACAACTCTTACCCATTTGGTTAACATAAATCACTTCCCTCCACTCTGATTATTTCTGAATGAACTGAGTGACTGAATTTATAAACTTGTTTTATTCCAGGGACCAAGCTCGTGAGCTCACAAACATGGCGATCCCCTACCAAGGTCCAGCCACACTCTTTAAGGCTCAGTCTGAAAATACAACAACTTCTCTCCTTAGCCATATTAATTTTGGCATTTCATAATTTAGTTACGAACTTAACTTCTCTGAGTATACTTCACGTGGTTTCTGGCTTACAGCAGCCAATTCTCTAGGCCATTCAAAGGAAATATGAATGTTCAAACATAGAATTCCTTCACTACATCTCCTGATTACAAAGTTCATGATAAAGGCTAGTTCACAATGATCACTGGGTAAAGATAATGGGAGTTTAATTTGGAAACGCACAAATTGGAAAATAACCCAATTTTTAAAAGTTGCCATCACATCCAATTTATAACCTTTTCACATTTGCATAATGGACGTTGAAATTACAAGGGAGAGGGAAAATGTGGAGAGCATTAATATTTATTGAGTGCCTATAATGTGCTCTGGATGCCTTACGTATCTGTCACTCATTAATCCTCTAAATAGCCCTGACCTCAGCAACCGTCACCCCACCCTTCTATGCCACTATTCCACCTTTCGCTGTCCCGATGGAGAAGGCTAGATGCCCTTATCAGAGCCTCCCGTAGCACTGGAATCTTCCGCTTAGAGCACTTCTTACACTTTCTGATTACTTGTTTGTCTCTTCCCAAGCAGCCTGTAAGCCTCATGAAGGGGACTACTTCTAATTGACTGCTGTGTCTCTAGCACCAACCACGACGTAAGACTGACAGGAAAGGCCCCTAATATTTAATTAGTATTAATGAAGGAATGACCGTAGCATGCTGTGAGACTTACTGGCAAATCTCCGTGTATAAGCAGTAGGGCTTTTGATGTTAACTCATGTTAATTTTTAGAAATTTAATTTCATGATAACTTGTGACCTTGTCTGTGAAACCTGTAATTTATCCAATTTGGAATCAATACATCCCTATATCCTTACTTTAATAAAATAAATAGGCAGCAGTGCAGGGTCCTGTAAAGGGGCAGTGGTGAAATGGATCACCTTATTCCTCCCTCAGCCTGGAACGTGAAGACAGGCTAGCCAGAAGACGGCTCAATTGCTAAAAACGAACCACTCCAGGTGGCTTCAGATCGCAATTTGCTCGTTTTAAAGTTTTCTTAATTTAGCAGTATAATTAGGTTCAAGTCAGATTTCAGATTTCTTCCCCTCCTCTCTTTCAACTGTCACAGGCAAAGACTGCCAAGCAGAAACACGACGGCACGGCAGGTCTGCTGACATACCCAGTACTCCAGGCGGCCGACATTCTGCTGTACAAGTAAGAAGACAGTTCACCCCGGTACTGTACATACTCACAGTGACAAGAGTGTTCTATCCTATTCAATACAGACTTGATTCATGGGCAAGGGAGGTGCAGAAAGGGTCAGACATCGGAATCAGTTTATACCTATTCCCCAGCAATGGGTACTGCATTATAGAAGTATGTGTCTGTGAGAAACTCATGATATTAACAGCTAACATTTAAATAGCGCATACAATGTGTTGGAAACCATTGTAAGAGCTTTACGTACATCAGCCTTTCCAACAGTCTTCTAAAATTTGCACTGTTATTGTCCCAGTTTTACAGATGGACAAATTGAGGCACAGAGTGGTTAATAGCATGTCCAAAATCATGTAATTAGCAAGGCTTGGAGCCAGGATTTGAGTCCAGAAAGTTTGGATACAGAGTCTGTGCTCGTAAGCAGTATGCCATATATATTTCCCCAGTGTTGATTAAACTTCAGGCTTTTTTTTATTTTGAGATGAAGTTTTGCTCTTGTTACCCAGGCTGGAGTGCAATGTCGCGATCTCAGCTCACCGCAACCTCCGCCTTCTGGGTTCAAGCAATTCTCCTGCCTCAGCCTCCCCAGTAGCTGGGATTACAGGCACGCACCACCATGCCCAGCTAATTTTTGTATTTTTAGTACAGATGGGGTTTCACCTTGTTGTCCAGGATGGTCTCGATCTCTTGACCTCATGATCCACCTGCCTCGGCCTCCCAAAGTGCTGGGATTATAGGCTTGAGCCACCACACCTGGCCTAAACTTCAGGCTATTTAAATGTTGGTTTAAACATTTAAATCTCTCTGTGTTTATGGAAATGTTCTATGCCTGTGCTAGATCCTGTAGCCAGTAGCCACATGTGAGGCTTTTGAGTACCTGAAATGTTGCTAGTGCCACAGAGGAGCTAAATCTTAAATTCTACTTAATTTTAATTAAATTAAATTTAAATAGCCACTGTATTAGACCTACAGGTTGGCAGCAAGTTTTAAAATACGATTCAGGGTACCTGTACTTTTCCTGGACCCATAATCTATCCAGTCAGCTACTGCTGCCACTTACCTGAGGATGCGGATCCCTGCACTTGCTGTACTACTGGCCAGGGTTTCTGACTTCATCTCCGTCTCAATTCTTCCGTGCTAACTCCTCATCAGCCTCTCTTGACCCCCATTTGGCCTTCTAGAGATAAACCCTTCCAACTGGGCTGCACTTAGAGCGATGCTGTATGAAAGCTTCTGGGAAAAGAAGACACTTTACCAATGTTTTTGCATCCCTTCCCCCTAAAGCTGTGAACTAGAATTCTTTGCCTGGAAGTCTGATAATAGCATGAAGATGACAGTATCTGTACCTCGTGGCATGACTCCAATGCCCTTGTGCGATTATGATGGAAACAGCCAAAAGAGCAGCTGCTTAGCTCTACAAACAGGGAGTGTCCATGAGTACATGCAGCCCCTCTTCAATTCTCATGCAACCTTACAAAGATCGTTTGCCTGTTTGTTGTATTAACTTGAATGCTGGTCTCTTGATAACATTTATTATTTGTAGTAAGTGGTTTTTGACTTGCTTAAAAGGCTAGAACACTTTTCTCCAATAAGTAGCAAATGAAAGCGTAATGAAAGTCTTAATAATACATTTTTTCTAGACAGGTAGGATATTTGCTTGAAAAGGTTCTCCGAAGAAACTTGATTTTCTCACCTGTAAAATGGGAATAATTATTAAGCACAGTCTTATTAGAGGGTTACAATGAAGTACAGGCCAGGCAGTGCTGTGACTAGGAGCTGTGACTTGGTTATGACTAATGACGACTGTGCCTTGGATGATTACAGTGCTGTCTGATTTTGTTTCAAGGCCTACTTCCTTATAGAACCAAAGCCTAGCCCGGCACGGTGTTGCATGTCTGCAGTTCCAATTACTTGGAAGGCTGAGGCGGGAGGATCACTTGAGCCCAGCCTGGGCAAAACAGTGAAACCTTGGCTCCAAAAACAAAAACGAAAAACAGAAGCTGAGAACTGTCAGCACCAGAATAAGAAGACACGTGAGCATGGTAGATTTCTTTAACAGTTCAAGAGCTGTAATGGGAGAGTCCTTGAGCTTAGGGTTATGGAAAAGCATACACTTGAACAAGAATGACTGCACTCTTATGATACCGTGGAGCAAAGGATGGGAAAGGGCTTTAAGGAGCTTCTTCTTTTATTCTGTTGCTTTACATGTGCAGCCCAGCATGGTTCCACAACTTGCCTGAAGCTCTGCAGCCAGTCGGTTGACTTCGGAACATCTGGGCAAGACTGTGGGTCTACAGCGCTTTTTCTGCGAATGTACATTTTGCATTTGTCTCATTACGTCTTCTCTCAGGTTTAGAAATTCCTAATTGCTCTATAGTAAGCAGCAGAGTCAGGATTCAAACTCAGGTTTGATTTTTAGGCTGTATCATTGTTTTCCCTATAACAGAGATAAGGTATTTGAGGGTATTTTTGTGTTTGTTTTGCTTTGTTTCAGACATTTCTGGATTTTGAGAAAGCTCGTAGCCAGAATGTCTATGAATATTTGCATTATAAATGTAGATAGGTAGAATGCTAGATTGAAGGGTGGATAAAGCATCTGTGGTTTTTTTTCTACCAGCAAATCTACATGTAACCTCTTCATAAAATTTTGATGCAAGCCAAATCTTAGTGTTTCCTTTTATCAAAATCATCATTAGAATGAGTGGCACGGTGGGCCAGAGAACAAACATAATAGAAAGAAAGAGAAGAGGAGCTTTTCAGATAAGTTTATAAGAGATTTATCTAACTATTTTGGCAGAACTTAGTAAGGAACCCAGGAATGGACAGCTGAGGCCATCTTCAGCTTGAGAGTATGATAAGTACAAGATATTTGAATATAGACAAACTATTCCAATGCTCAAAAATAGCAAGTGTTCATAGTTTTTATTTTGCATCTATATTATTTTTCCAAATGCCTAATTTCAAATAGCTGGCTATATATTAAGTAAATATTTTCTCCCTTTCTCTCTCTCTCTGTATGTATGTATATGCATACACACACATCAAGGCAAACACATATGTATATAATTTTTATCAATATACAACAAATAGTTCCTAAGTACCTACAATGCCACTGATCTGGAAAAAGGTACTATACTTAGCCTTGAGGGAAAGGAAAGGAAGGACTTTTCATGTGTTGAGTATTATTTACTAACTGCTACGCACTTGTTATCTACTCAGTTCTCATGATAGCGCTATAAAATAAATGAGTGGTATTATCCCCACTTTACAGATGAGGAAATGAAGTTTCAGAGAGGTTCCACTAAGTTCGTTCAGATAGAAATACAGTGAGTATCTGGGCTAATCAGATTATCTTTCTCAAGAATTTGAAGAATTTGGGAAGAGGATAAGAAGACTGGAAACCATCTGGACATGCGTGGCTCACACGTATAATCCCAGCACTTTGGGAGGCTGAGGCAGGCAGATCATCTGAGGTCAGGAGATCGAAACCTGCCTGGCCAAAGTGGTGAAACCCCGTCTCTACTGAAAATACAAAAAAATAGCTGGGCGTGCTGGTGTGCATCTGTAGCCAGCTACTCAGGAGGCTGAGGCACAAGAAGTGCTTAAACCTGGGAGGAGGAGGCCACAGTGAGCCAAGAGGCTGCCGCTGCACTGTAGGGTGGGTGACTCCATCTCAAAAACAACAACAAAAAAGAAGACTGGGAGTGAAAGAAAAATGATGTGGAAAAGTGAGACAACAAAGGCCTCAAGAAACTTTAGGCAGAAACCAAACCAAACAAAAACCCAGAAAGTATAGAGAGTAATTTTTATTTATTTAGAACTGGAATGGGGAGTCTCAACATTTTCTCTACATAAGGAGAGAGAATTATGTACCTCAGGAAATAGGAATGAGAATTTCACTGCAGCACTGTTTGCATAAAAAAAAAAAAAAAATACCTGAGCTAAATGTCCATCAATGGGGTAATGGATAAAGAAATTATGGAATGTGATGACTTGTCATAGAGAAGTTAAATGAAAACAGTGTCAAACCATTAACCTGTATAGATCCCCAAATAGAAATGTTGAGTGAAAAAGACAAGTTGCAGAATAATGTTAAGATACAATTTATGTAAATGCAGTGCCACATTGACTAATACTACATAGTGTTTGAGAGAGCCATATGAATATATCCATTGAGAACACGTGGATGAAAAAGAAGTATATGCAATTCACAGCAGGATTGTTGCTGGAGAGAGGGGGAGGGGAACAGGGAGTGGGAAAACTTTGAGTATAGAGATTAAAATGATCACTCAGAAACTTCAGACTGGTAGAGCCAGAGAAGAGATGTCATCACAGTGTCTGAGAACAGGCTACTGCCATTGAGCACCATTGAAAATAAGCATTTTGAGAGCTTTTCATTATTAGGATTTCTCTTTTTTGAGACATCATAAAACAGCATTTGAGAGCTTTTTCTAAGGATGCTAGAGTACCTAAACTGGCTTCGGAGACTCCCAGTTCCTGGACTGCTTCATTCTTTGTGAGGCCAGTCAAGCCTGATTTTTCTGACATGCAGGAAGCTGTTCATTTCTGCAGTCTGCTCATAGCCACGTATCCACCCATATTACCTAAGCAATAATTCTTTTTATCTTTCACTTTCCAGTTTCCCTCTATTGGGTAAATGCCTACACCTAACCAGAACCCTATGAAAGGCAGTTGGAGAAATGTAGTTTCCAGGCTGCCGGCCCCTGAAAATCAAGAGGTAGCATAGAAGGGAGAGAATGGTGCTGAGATGTCAACAGATAATCCAGTACGTTCTCCAAAAAGTGACAGGAAGCTATTTGTACATTTTAAGGATACAGCAAATTTGATATGACTTATACTTTTAAAACAGAATTGAGGAAAATACAGAGAATGAAGGAGAATCCAAGATGGCTGATCGCTAACAGCTCGGGATTGTAGCTCCCAGTGAAAGCGCAGAGAACGAGAGGACGCCACACTTTCAGATGAATTTTTGTCAC